ATATATATATATATATATATATATAGAGAGAGAGAGAGAGAGAGAGTAGAAAGTAGAAAGAATAGCTGCATGATATTGCTGTAATTAATCAGTATTCCCCACTCCTGTCTTTCTGTTCTGTTATGATACTCAGATCACATGCACTGTAGTTTAACATCTTGGTCAGAGTCTTGTAAACCAGTTGTTCTCTAACTCAAAAATATTTTTTTTGTTCTTTTTTCCAGGCCAGAATACGTAGCAGACAGAACTAACACAGCAACGCATCGTTGCAGCCCGAATCAATTATAGGGAAGCACAAAATAATAAATCTATCTTTTACTATATATGTTGTTTTTCTCTTGAGTAGAGTGTAAGTTTGAAAAATGGAGAGGTCAACTCTCCGTTTTATTCTGTCAAAATGAGATAACTCGTGTTTAAAAAAAAAGATAGATGAGAGACATCCATCACACATTTATTGTGATCTGCTCCATGTCAACCCAGCTGAGATAAGTTCTCATCCACACCTCGATGCTCCCCGTGTTTCTAAAAGCTCATGTTGCTGCAGGACAAGTGTACCAACAATTGATCAGGTGTTGTGGGAACGTGCACTGCCTGTTCAAGTGTCATGTGGGGTGCATCATTGTTTTTGTTGCTTTAGTTCTTTGAATCAAACAATATTAATACTAAAAGTAGATTTGATCGCCCCAAAAAATACCAAAAGTATGTCTCCCTTTAACTTATTTTTTTTTCTGCAAAACTCACAATATTCTCTTTGTTAAAGTGAACGTTTCACATGCTTATAGTTTGTCATAAATAACGAAAATACACAGGACTATAACAATATAAAACAAATCTGTGCTCTGATTAATGTAATTCAATAAATGATCATCCATCTTTACCCACTTCTTCCTTTTTGGGTCATGGGGTGTCACTGATGCCCATATCCTGCAGTCACTATATAACAGGGGGACACCCTGGACAGACGGAGAGAACATGTAAACTCTACCCAGAAAGGCCCCCGGCCAGGATTCGATCTAGCGATCTGAAAACTGAAACTGAAAAATCCGAGAGGCAACAGCTCTACCATCTGAGCCACTGTGCCGCCAATAAATGATCAAATATTGAAAAAAAATCATTGATTTTGCATTGTGTTGTTTTTATTTGTCTAGTTTTTCTGCATGGCTTTAAATTACACAGGTATTAACATTTCAAGTATTTGAAAGATCTTTAAACTGAAGGGCACTCATGCCTACGTTGTGTTGGAACTTGTGATGAGCTATTCAATCCTACAGCTGCCTCTGCTCCCAAACCACCTGAAATGCCTCATTTTAGTCAGTATTTTAGTTTTACTACTTAACACTATGAAAGTACAGCATATGGTAATTTGTTCATCTTGGTGGGTACTTTGGCAGACAGCTGTTAAAAATTCAATAGCTGCCTGAAACTCTGCAATTTTATTATCAATTTCAAAAATAATCAGAGAAAAGTTTGCCTTTTGAGAGTGCTGCAAACAAGAGTGACAAGCAAATATATGCCAGTGTTGACCAATAGTTTACAAAAACTGTTTTACACTTGTCAATAAATATTATATTTGACATTATAGATGAAACTAAATAATGGAAACACTTGATCTGCTTTTGTGACAGGATAGTAATAAAAAGCTGAACTCATATTGACCCATCATATTTTTGTATAGTGTAGGGTTCTTGCTGAACTTAATCAAAGCGAGCCTAGGTTCTGTGAATGGAACAAACAAACAAAAAAACATAATTGCTCTACCTCCGTGCTTTATAGTAGAGTTGCTTTCAGGCCCCAAAAAATCTGACCTGACCCGGCCCCAGTCTTTAGCCATAATTTACAAACCCCACCTGACCCGACAAATTAACAGGAATTACAGGTCCAAACCTGAACCCATCCCCAACATTTTTAATTAAGATTTGACGCTTATATAGTTATTAACAGTCAGTGGACGCTCACTGCTAAGGGGGCAGAAGATCAGAGCTGAGGGGGTGTTTGTCCTTTCATGGCCATCAAAGTGTATTAAATCCCTGCTTCTGCCTGCATTCTGCATTATTCAGACACAGACCCTGCTCTGACATGTCGGATATTTTGGGATCTCAACTATTTGGGTAGTCGGCTGCACGTCCGCTGAGTGAAGTGGCTGAATGAAGGTCCATTTGGGCTTTGATTCAAGGATTCAAGGATTCAAGGTTCTGTATTTGTCATATTAAAATTGCCAAAAGAAATGCCAAATTAAATATATGTAGGAGTAATGCTTGAGGTCTGGACACCTTTTAACAGGTGTTTACGCTAACCATTCAGAGTTATGTAATAAATGTTGACCAACCTCAATTGAAAGAAATATGTGAGTACTTGGCACGTTGTTATCACCCTCACTCGAAGAAAAACATAAGAATCTGGTCATTTAAATACACAATTCTGCAATGTTTCTTCTCAGTTTGAATAATGACAATAATGGCAAATATATGAAATATGAATGAATAACCAAAGTGTTATTTCAAAAGGGCAAATAATATAAAATAGCTTAAAACTTTAAGAGGTATATTCAATTTGGAGTAAAGTTTTAGCACTAACGTTAAAATTTAAGTAAACTTTACCTCAGATTCGTGAACTAATTATAAATGTCCAAAAGGACTAAGCTGGCACTTAGTTGTTTTCCTCATCAAAAGAAAGACATTTGTTCTACCGGGAGATGTCCATCTCTCATTACTACAATGGATGTGATGAACTGAGGTCGGAGGTTCACGTTGTCACCGGAAAAGGGATGTTTTTCCTTCGGGGACTACGTCTCTTCCAGCAAGCGGTTGTGCTTCATCACTCACGGGGTGTTTGAGGGTTACCAGGACTTTTCTCCATCTCTCAGCTGACTGAGTCGGAGTCCAAGATGGAACTCTTTGCTGGCTCAGACCCAACTCTCCTTCAGCAATGGATCGCTGCTTGGCAGTATAGTCCTATCTGAAACACAACTGAACTTTTTTTTTACCTCGTTCAAGGCCGGTCAGCGTGAAGTCAAATGGCCACGTGCGGTTGGTGATTATATGGCAAGCCATGTTGGCTTTTTTTTTTTCATTTACCCTTTATTTATACAGGTAGTCTCATTGAGCCACAAGAACTCATTTTCAAGAGAGATCTGTTTAGGGAGCAGATGGGGGTTAAGGGCCTTGCTCATGGGCCCAGAGTGGGGCGAATGAGGGTGGGGACAGGTGTTGGTGTTTCACCTACCCCACCCACATTTTTGATGTTGTCGGTAGCAGGGCTTGAACCGGCAATCTTCCGATCACAGGCCCATCTTCTCTAACCTCTGCGCCACCACTCCCCCTGTATATAATTGGATTGTCAGCCGTGCGCGTCTGCTGATGCAATCAAAAGCCCGATATCAGCCCAGCCTGCACATTAAGAACATTATGGCCCGGCCCTAATCTGGGTAGTGTTGGGCCAGGCTCCAGGTTAGAAATGACAGCTCTACTTTATAGTGGGCATAAAATGTTAGCGGTAAAGTGTTGGGATTTTTTATTTTTTTTTTTAAATATGATGCTGTGCATTGCAGCCAGACCATTCCTTTGCTGATCTGTCCAATAAACATAATTTATAAAACCTTGTGCTTTGTTTAGACCCAGCTACGCAAATCTTAGTCATGCTGCTATCGTCTTTTTGAGAACAGACTTCCAATACCTCTGAACATGCTGTACATACTTGTTCTGTTTTCAGGGTATTTTCTGCACATTTTGCTGGGAAATGAAGTGGAATTCAGGTGTAAATCTCCTGGGACATTTAGTCCTGGAAAGATAGCTGCCTCATAGGTTACCCCACCTGAAAATAATTGATCCTATTGTAGACTAATTATTTGAAAATGACCTATTAACTTCTCCCAGAATGACAGGTTGCAGCATGTTTCTTGTTGCTAATGCTTTTTGATTTAGCTGCATGAAGCCAACCAGGAAACTTATAAAAGTTCTGCTCTCATAGATCAGCTCACATTTGCTGACAATCAAGCCCAATTCATCAGCATCACTTGGTGCTTGGAAACATTCCTAATAGCCTATGGAAGCAGTAAGACTGCTTTACAGCTTAGTCATACAAATACCATGATTTAATGACATTTCATTGGTTTTAGTGTTTAGACTCATTCTGTGCTGGGTGAAGATTGAACAAACTACCGAAAAACTAAAAGAAAACTTCAAAGAATCTAAGCAATAAAAAAAATATATATTTACCTGCGTCCTATAAGGAACTGTCCCTGGTCACCAGCCAAGATGCGATAGGTCACATAACCATTTTCACCTGAATCCATGTCCACTGCTGTCAGCTTGAGAACCACAAAAACCCACAGACACACAAATGTCATACGTTATGTTTACATTTTTAACAGTTTAGTTGTCGTATAGTATATCAGATGGTGTTTACCTGTAACACAGTTTCTCCAGGCATCATGTCAGTGAACAGGTTGACACTATAAGAGACGTTAGCAAAGGTTGGAGTGTTGTCATTAGCGTCCAAAACTGTTATGGTCACAGAAACAGGAGCGCTCTGCTGTACGCCATCTGATGCTGACAGCTGGAAGGAAAAAGATGAGAAAAAAAAATGAATGTGTAAAACGACAAAACTGTTTTTAGTGGTAGGAAAAGCTGAAATTTTGAGAATCGTTGAATGTTTTTTGACATTTTTTTGTTTTCTGTCATGCAATAACTCCATGTATTTTCTCCCTCACTTGATTTTTGTGTGCTTGTTTTGTTTATGACCCATGTAGATTCAACAAGGATTGTCATGAACCAGGGTTTTTGATTCAGAATAAGCCAGACACAGGAGTGCAAAAACAAGAACAGCTTTTATTTATTATGCTGCTGGTTGCTGGAGTCAGGGTCCAAGGCAGAAGTCCAATCTTCTCAGTCTGTACGTGGCAGGTGAAATCCAGAGGCATGGTCCAATGGTCATAGCAGGGGTCAAGCACGTTGAAGCAGAGAAGCAAGAACAGGGCCGAGTCGTGATCCAAAAGAGTAGTCAAGGGAGAGCAAGAGTCGTTACCGTGGTCAGATAAGCAGACAAATCCAGAAAGGGGCAAGGCAAGGCGTCAAAAAATAGGTGAGGGTTCAAGGCAAGGATGCAAAACTATGAAACAAGATACAATGATTGAAGGCTTTACTATCAGGGACCATGAGTGGTGTAATAATTCGGCCCTGGTGGAGAGTGAGAATGGATATAAAGATATAAAGGGTGAAGAGCAGGTGAACTAGATGAGCTGAACAGGTGCGTGGAATCAGGGCTGATTGCAGTGCTTAGGCTGAGGGGGTGTGGTGAACTGTTGACTGACAGGAGCAGATGTGAGCAATGACAGATGGGTGATAAGCAAAACACAGTAGGGAAACAGAAACAATGACATGAGGGGTAGAAGTGTGAGCAGATGAGGGTTCGGCGTGGGACCGATGACCATTACAAGGATTTCCAAAACGTGTTCCCAGAATTCTTTTGCCTGCTTGCACTGGATGCATAATTGTCCCCTTCAGCTCTCAGAGGATTTAAATTATTTGTAACATATTCATAAACTAAAAACAAAAATCACTGAAAAGTTCAGCGTGCATTTCTATGAAGCATCTAAATAATTTTATGCAATAAATATGAGACTTGCAATCGGTTTGTCTCTCCAACAGAAAACATGTCCTTTTAACTTGATCTTTGTTTTTGCAATTTTCCTCACTGCCAATCAAAATCATCTATAATTGTAATCGAATAAACACAAAAATAAAACGCACAACTTATTTTGAAAATTTCTGAAAACAGCGTTCACACCAGTAATCACCAATACAAAAAACAAGCACTCAGAAATAATCAGTCAGAGCTGATAAATGTTTTGATGCCACTCATTTAGCTAATGTTAGATACTGGTTCAGAAAAAGAAGACGTATTATTTGACTTTTTGCCTTCTTCAGTCACACTGGCTGTAAGGAAACAAAAAGTAGCATTTTACTCTATTTTCAAAATCCCAGGAAACAACAAAAAAGTTACTTTTCTGATACCAATCATCTTCATCTCATCTGCCAACAAGTTGATCGAGTCCTTTGAAATGAAAACCACCCTCCATGTCTCATAGCGCTCCGTCTCCGACTTTAATTTCTTCTCCAAGGCTTTCATAATGATTACTGTATACCTCTGCCTTTCAATCAATACACCAGACCTTCTGCTTTTCCATCTTCAACTTCCAAATTGCTGAATGCACACTCAAGGACACATCATGTCACACATTATGCAGCACACCCTCACACACAACTACACACTGCCACTGTTGTCAGGCTGAACTCAACACCTAAACGCCTTAAGAAGCAACAGCGCTTCACACTCCATGATGCAACACACGTATTGAGATGCTGTGCATGGCAATGAGATGCTGCTGAGTTAAAGTGGGGAGAAAAAGAAAAAAACAAAAGGGTAAGGAGAAGGCAATGGAATATATTAGAAGTGGAAAAACGATTAAAGTCCACACCTGTTTACAGCATCTTTTTAGAGTTAACTTAAATACTTTTTTACTAAAACGGAGGGCTTCCCTTTGCTTCATCCATCAAACAAAATATGATAACCAACACAAAGTCCTCTGTGATTAGCATCCATTGTTCTGTGTTGTAAAATGCAGCCAGTAATGGCTTGATTGGTACCATCTCATTATGTCTTGGGAGGAGTTTAATAATCAGTTTTACAGTTGGAGTGCAGAGTACACATACTATATATTTATACATACCAGCTGTATACACAGATTGTGTTGTGCACAAGAGCATTCAAGTAGCTTTCAAAAGTTTTTTCTTAGCCAACAATGTTCAGTCAGGTCATCTGGAAGAGTTTCTTTTTTTGCTGAGATGTTTCGACCTTCATCCGAAGGACTTCTTCAATATGAGGAGCCACCAACAAACTGAGTCCTACCACAAACAGCTCACTCCCATAGTGGGAAAAAACCAGCTGGGACTTGGTGTGTTGGTGGCTCCTCAGGTTGAAGAAGTCCTTCGGATGAAGGAGGAAATGTCTCAGCAAAAAAAAACAACCAACATCTAGATGACCTGACTGGACATTGTTGGATTAATACCTGGATTACTGAGCATGGACTTTGGTGTTTTGAACCACTTTGTGTGTGCTGTTTGTGGTGGGATTCAGTTTGTTGGTGGCTCCTCAGGTTGAAGAAGTCAATTGGATGAAGGACAAAATGTCTCAGCAAAAAAAAGACACCATCCAGATGACATGACTGAATATTGTTGGATTATTACCTGGATTACTGGGCATGAATTTTGCCTTTTTTTTTCTCTTTTAGATTTACGTAAATAACTTTAAATGAGAATGACTCGAAACGGCATCAATACAGATGATTTTGGACACTGAACGGTGTCCTAATTTAAGAGACTTAAAGACAAAGCATTGCTACTTCCTGTAGAAAAAGGTTGAGACTTCCTCTTGAGAGCAGGCTGTTGTCACAAAGTCTGGCTCTTACACATCACAACTGCACATTTGTAATTTTTTTCAGGACTCATTAATGTACTGATAAAGTGTCTGCCTTTCTTCCTCTCTTCAAAACATCATGAATAAAACTGAAGACCCGTGTGTTCAGCCTCAAACGTGAAAGCTTTTGCCAAAACGTGCTTGCACACCCGGTTCCACACAGTGAATGGGAGAGAAGCAAACATGTAAAAAGGCTGGCCGGCATCAAATCGAACTGCTTTATGATGATGTAATTAATATGCTATTTATTATAATATCCTCTAACAACATTAAACTTTTCTAAAAGTTGTTAATGATAAATGAACACAATATTTGACACAATGTGACTTTAGTTCAAAGGTTACTTCACTCAGTTTAGAACTGAATTATTTCATGTATTCAACTTAAAAATTAAGAATTAGTAACAAATTATGCTTTTAATAAAAGCATGCACCACATTGTAGTTTAATGCCTAGAATATATATATATATATATATATATATATGTGTGTGTGTGTGTTGTTTGAGAAAGGCTGTATTGTTAATTCTGGTTCTATTATATATTTTTTCCCATTGTGGAAGGAAGAGCTGCTCTCTAGGCGTTGCGTTTTGCTGCTGAGTTTGATGCCAGAACTGTGTTTGTAGAATTTCAGAAATGTCCTAATTTATTGTTTTTAATATTTGCACCTGGGTTATAAACGACATACAAGTTAAAATAATAATAAAAAAGACAAAGAGCTGAGTCCAGAGTCTGTGTCCATGAAAGGTCTCCTAATTTTTGCTCCTGCTCTCTCCCACCATGTTGAATTTAGTTTGTGTTCTTTGTTACGTTCCGTTCCCCTTTTTCAGTGCTTCACCTTTACTTTCATCTCCGCCCACCCCCACACACTTCTCTTTGTGTCATCTCAGCCCCTTTTAGACAAAAAAAAAAAAAAACTATCAAGACTAGATTTTATCTGTCTCTCCCTTCACTTCAAATGCAAATATGTAAAAAACTGATCATGCATAAGACTGCTAGTGTGCTACTGTACCGTAAATGTATAGGAGTCCTGAGTCTCTCTGTCTATAGGCTGCAACAGAGTGAGATATCGTCTGATCCCAGTGGCAGATACAAAGAACACATGAGAATAACTGTCCAGCGAGAACTGAAGCTGTGGATCCCGGCTCTGTTAAAGACAAAAGACAGACATTTGGAGTTATAACGATCCCAAACAGATACTCCCAATGCAAAACAAATCAGAGATAAAATTAAACAGAAGATTTGAAAGAAAAGAAAACAATCTAAAATTGTTTTGATTTTATTTAAAATAATCTGTCTGTACATATGCACTTATTTATGGGGTGCTGTTTGTAAAGTTACACAGTCAAAAATCAACAGCAAAATTTGAGTTTATTTAACCTTTAATAAGAAAAAAAAGTTGTTTTTTTTCAGTCATATTTTCACCATGATATTCATACATTTATAAATGTCATAGTTCCAAACTAAATATTTAATTTTCAAGCTAAATATTTAATTTCCAAACTAAACATTTAATTTATAAGCTAAACATTTAATTTCTAAAATAAATATTTAATTTGCTAACTAAATATTTAACTCTCAGCTAAATATTTACCTTCCAAGCTAAATATTTAGCTTAAAAGTTAAATATTTAGTTGGCAAATTAAATATTTAGTTTAGAAATTAAATGTTTAGCTTAGAAATCAAACATTGAGCTTAGAAATCAAATGTTTAGATTGGAAATTGAATATTTAATTCACACCTAAATATTTACTTTACTAACCAAATATTTAACTTGCAAGTTAAATATTTAGTTTGCAAAATAAATATTTAGCTTGTAAATTAAATATTTATTTTGGAACTATGACATTTATAAATGTATGACTAACATGTTGAAAATATGACTTTGAAAATTTTTTTTTTTCTTATTAAAGGCTAAATAAACCAAAATATTGCTGTTAATTTTTGACTGTGTAACTTTTCAAATGGCACCCCATATATATTAAGTGATCTTTTGTGTGTGTGTTCATGCTGCCTGTGTGTGTGTGAGAGAAAGCTCTTCTCATTCCAGTTAAAGCTGGCTCAGCAGAGCGCGGGGGTGGTGGTGGTGTGTGGGGGGGGTAATCTTGTTGATGTAGCTGTTGTGGATATTGAGCCATAAATAAGCACGAGTGCATACACGCACACACTCATTTGCACATTTGCATGCACAGACATTAATAAAAGTGATTGATGGCGCATTAGGACTAATCATCATTGTTGGTGCTTATTGGTGAAGGAACAACCAGGGTTAGCAATAATAATAAGACCTCCATGTGTATCAGTTGTCACAAAGTCACCACCAAACAAACACACTCATCATCCTCCTTAAGCCCAGTCTCTGATCCCTGCTGGGAGGAGACTTTTAGAAAACAACAGTTAGTTTTTGTCAAAATGCCTAAACAAACTAAGCTGCTGCTGCGTGGGAAATAATATTGCAGCACTCACTATAAAATCCTAATTATTACTCGGAAGTAATTTAAGAGGGAAATGGTTTTACAGCCACATTTACAGGCACTTCAGATAGGCCACTTCAAACACTGCAAGCAAAGCACAAAGCTCAGAGTGAGTGGAGGGGAAAGCAGGAGAGAAGGACGCTCGCTTGCAACAGTATTTAATTTCTCTGTGACATATTTCAACACCCTCACCACATCAAGCAGCACGATTTATTCACACAGTAATTTAGTTTGGTTTGAGCCACAGGTTGGCTTATTTGCACAACCGAGATTCATATCACTAAGGTAACACAGTCAGCCAAAGGGCTTTTGTTAAACCAGAGCTGCAACATGTCTCAAATATTGGACAAGGTTTTCAACTACATCATCTACAGCAGATGACTTGATCCTTATAATTGATCATATTTGGATTTGATCTACCTCTGTTTGACCAGTTGAAACTGTTTTTTGAAGAGTACCTATGGATAGTGAGTGTCCTACCTACAGTAGACAGCAGTCTGCGTGATCTCAATTTTGAAAATCAGGTAAAATTTTCTATGTGAAAGTTAAGATTCATAGTTAATTGCAGCAGTGGAAATCTGCTTTCGAATGAACTCTGATTTAAGTCAGTTATTTCCTTGGAGTTTGAATAAACGCTTCATTGAGTATTTTAACACATGAAAACTTTTACGAGTCTGCATTTTGTCAACAAAAAGTTCTGTGTTGCTATGTGTAGGCTGCTCAGTGATCAGGTCCACATCCAAAAACAACAACAACAGCCATTAAGACCGAGATGTTTCAAAAGCAAAGGCAATATGTCCTGTTTTGGAGAGATAAGATAATATATGTAGGGCCAAAGTATCAAGACTAAGAACTAAGAATGACTACTGGTGGGCAGCATGGTGACACAACTGGTAGAGCTGCTGCCTCTCGGCAAGCAGTGATAGGATGTTTTAATGTGCAACCCTGCACAAAAAAGTGTGTAAAGAAAATGGATGAATTGATTATTTGACCATTTTTTTCATGGTTCTCCCCTATTCACCACACCTTAGAGCCTGGGCAACAATTGAGTGCGCTGCTGCCACCTTGTGATGGTGGTAACCTGTGCTGGTGGAAAAAATATTGAATTTTCAATATTTTCAAGATGATGATAATCAGGGCAGCACGGTGGTGCAGTTGGTAGAGCTGCTGCTTCTCAGCGAGCAGGTTAACTCGGGGCAAATCCCGGCCCGGGGGCCTTTCTGGGGAGAGTTTGCATGTTCTCTCCGTGCATGTGTGGATTTTTTTCCAGGTACTCCGGTTTCCTCCCACAGACTAAAAACATGCATCAAGGCCAAGATTTCTTTATTGTCATTCACATTGCATGTGGTACAAGTGGTGGAACAAAATTGTGTACACAGGGTCATGTTAGGCTGAATGGTAACTCTAAATTGTTCCTAGGTGTGAGTGAGAGAGTGAATAATCGTTTGTCTCTATGTGTCCCTGTGATGGACTGGAGACCTGTCCAGGGTGTCCCCCGCCTCTCGCACAGTGATGGCAGGACATGGGCACCAGTGACCCCCGTAACCCAAAAAGGAAGAAGTTGGTAAAGATAATGGATGAATGGAAGACGATAATCACAAAATGAATTTGTTACTAATGGTAGGACATTCCACCATCTTTGTTTTAATTAAAAGTTTACAGTCATTTTGACTACTGCATGAGAAAATCTCTGATTTTAAAAATAAATCAGCAAACTGCTGTTTAGTACAGTTAAGATACTGACTGCTCCTATGTACTCCATATTGTCATAATATATATTATTCAGCAAAAAATAGAGGGGGGGAGGGGGGTGTTGTTCTATGCAGATGTCAGTGGGCCTTTGTAAGAAAAACTGTTTTATTTTTTCCTGAAATGAAACATAAAGTAATTTGTACAAAACAAGCTACCCATCATTTTATCACCAGTGTTCAACACATTTATTATAAAGCTAAGTTTGAGAAAATAATAATAATAACAATGCAAACTAGACAGATCAGTTTGTTTTTAACAAATCTGTTGACATTTTACTGGACAGTGCTTTTGCTGTAAAATATTGTAAACACTGTCAGATGCGTTTTTAAAAACTGCCTTTGTTAAATGTAAGTCTGCACAAATATCCCCCAATAATATGATAAGCTTGCTTTGTCTTTATAATAATATAATAATAGGACAAATAAAATAGGGAAAATGCTGCTCATGTCTATTATCAACTGATGTGACTTATACAAGGAGGTCAAACAGGTCAACTGGTCTTTTACCTTGAATTTAGTACATGTTTGAGACTGTAGGGCTTAATATGAAACATTTGTCAATAAGCATTAAAGTGTAAAGTAACTTGATTGGTCATTTTTAATCAAAGACCGTTATTTAAAAAATGCCAGACAAAGTTTCAGAGGAGTTAAAGGAAACACAGAACTTAGATGATACCTACAGGCGTCTTATTGGGTTTGAACTACAAAGGAAGCATAAGCAACAAGTCACACATACGTAACGCTTCAGCTGTATCAACACACACATTGCATAGTGACTATTAAAAACAGATCTTAAAACAGGTTATAGAAATGTTAAAAACTGAATTTGCACCAAAGTCAAAAAGTCAGTGTTAATAACATTTTGGGAATTTTGGGAACTACGTTACAAAAAAATAAAAAAAAATCTTTCTTGTAGGTTTTTTTTTATTTATATATTTGTTTTGTGAGTAAAATAATCTTAATTAAATAAATACTGTGTTATTGTTAGTATGAGCTCTGAATGGGTTCTCACCTCCTCCACATCGTTGTCCAAAGCTATGACAGTCAGTGGTGCCGACAGGCTGGCGTTGGTCGATACGGTCGTTCCTACTGGTGACGCCTCACTGATGTATCCATGGTAACTGGTCTCAAGGAAGTAGGGTGCCTGGTTGTTTTCATCCAGAACTTCAATTTGGAGGTTGGCAAAAGCTGGCAGGGGGTGGCCATTGTCTTGCTCAGCCTAAAAGGCAAATGGGAAAATCCTCCGTAATTGACCAGCCAGAGCCACTATATCTGTAGTAGTAACCATTTTAACATTCTGGGTCTAACAAAAAAAAAAAAAAAAAAAAAAATTGCTACGAGGCAGAGGAAAATATCTATTGGGTAATTTATTAGTTTGTGTAAAAAAAAAAAAAAAAAAATCCTATTTCGGGCATAGATGAAACAATTGAATTAAAAATAGTTTTTTTGTTTTTGTAGCTCATTGAGGCTGTAAAAGGTAAAACCATATTTTATATTTCAGTACTTAAAAGTCTCATTGGGACTGACTTTATGTCCCTGGTGTGTAGATATTTATAATATTTCACCCCACTGCAATAAAATTATATTTGCAAATTACAGTCTTATGAACTCTCTGGTCCTCACACACAATTTATATCCCCCAGAGAGCAACAGTCTCGCTAATGTATTAGACAGAAAAACAAATCCTTACACCAGTATGATGCAAATACATATACACAAAATACAGTAAGTTTTGGAAAACAAACAATAATTAAAAGATAAAAAAAAATATTTTATGATCAAACCTGTGATGTAAGCAGGGTTTCGGCATTTAACTTTTGTGCCAGACACAAGAACAAACCTGAATGTTTGTTTAAACCGTGTCTGTCTGAGAGGTTTTCGGTTTCAGCTTTGCCTTGACTGATGTCCATATTCATAACAGAGACGGTGCATATTTTATTGTTGGCCTCTATGTGTGTTATCTAAAACACTTCACTGTACCAGTTGATTGGCTGGATGCCCGTGTTTTATCGTTCTCAACTCTAAATAAAATGACCTGTAGGTCGTTGGTGAAAGCAGTTATACAGTACAGTACTTTCTAGTGGCTGCGGCAATTATGACCAAAGCAAAGAGGGATGTCAGGTGAACGTTATGGAGCTATAAATCTGTGTGCCTGTGGGTGGAAGGGAGGGTCAACAATACATCGCACTTACAACATGAACTTCACCGTGGAAAATCGTTATTCTTTTCTCACTTCAAGCAGTCAGTCCTCACTTTTTAACCTGACAGTTTCACAACTTTAACTACGTGTGCGCAGTTTGGAGAAAAGTTTTTAACCACCGCTCGGATCTATTTCAACTTGATTGTTTTTATAGCTAAATCAAGTCTGACGAATTGGAAGGGACATACTAAGTGGCACATATTTCACAGTGTTCCTTGCAGCAAACTGTCTTTTAGAAAAGCAAAACAAGTGCGTCTGAGTTAGCCAACAACATGCTGAAAAGTGCAAGTTTTTATATTTTATTTTATTTTATTTTACACAGACTTGGATTGTGCAACTAAGCAAGCCAGCTTGGTTCATCCTTTGAATACTGTAGATACAAGTCAGCATCATTTGCTGGTGGTAAACAAGCTTGTTCTTGCTCATTTGCCCATCCGTTCTGCTAACACAAGATTTCTAGGTGACATTATTTAGCAGGAGCACTTTCACAGCATTCTGGGCTTAATGCCACAAAAGATAATTGTTGTTTGTTTGAAGAAATTCAAACAAGTCGGGGTATTTTTCCTCCCCCACTACACGAGAAATAAATAGGGTGCTTGCTCAGACCATTCTCCAGTGCTGACAGGATGGTGAAAAAGAGATACGGCTGTGGAGTACTTTAGACCTAAATAAGAAGGGAAACAGGGATCTAAACTTCTCTACACAACTTTGTGCTGTATTTAGAGAGCAGGAGCAGACATTGATATACCTTTTCATTCCTGCTGTTTTCTTCTCCATCAATGTAGACACAATAATGGCAACCATAAAAATATGCACTACACACCCAGTACATACAGGTGCTGGTCATAAAATTAGAATATCATGAAAAAGTAGATTTACTTCAGTAATTCCATTCAAAAAGTGAAACTTGTATATTATATTCATTCATTACACACATACTGATATATTTCAAATGTTTATTTATTTTAATGTTGACAACTATAACTGACAACGAATGAAAACACAAATTCAGTATCTAAGAAAATTAGAATATTGTGAAAAGGTTCAATATTGAAGACACCTGGTGCCACACTCTAATCAGTTAATTAACTGAAAACACCTGCAAAAGTCTTTAAATGGTCCCAGTCTAGTTCTGTAGGCTACACAATCATAGGGAAGACTTTTGACTTGACAGTTGTCCAAAAGACGGCCATTGACACCTTGCACAAGGAGGGCAAGACACAAAAGGTCATTGCTAAAGAGGCTGGCTGTTCATAGAGCTCTGGGTCCAAGCACATTAATAGAGAGGTGAAGGGAAGGAAAAGATGTGGTAGAAAAAAGTGTACAAGCAATAGGGGTAACCGCACCCTGGAGAGGATTGTGAAACAAAACCCGTTCCAAAATGTGGGGGAGATTCACAAAGAGTGAACTGCAGCTGAAGTCAGTGCTTCCAAAACCACCATGCACAGACGTATGCAAGACATGGGTTTTAGCTGTTGCATTCCTTGTGTCAAGCTACTCTTGAACAAGAGACAGTGGCTGAAGAGTCTCACCTGGGCTAAAGACAAAAAGGACTGGACTGCTGCGGAAGTTATGTTCTCTGATGAAAGTAAATTTTGCATTTCCTTTGGAAATCAAGGTTCCAGAGTCTGGAGGAAGAGGAGAGGCACATAATTCATGTTGCTTGAGGTCCAGTGTCAAGTTTCCACAGTCAGTGATGGTTTGGGATGTCATGTCATCTGTTGGTGTTGGTCCACTGTATTTTCTGAGGTCCAAGGTCATCGTAGTCGTCTACCAGGAAGTTTTAGAGCACTTCATGCTTCCTGCTGCTGACCAACTTCATGGAGATGCAGATTTCGTCTTCCAATAGGACTTGGCACCTGCACACAGTGCCAAAGCTTCCAGTACCTGGTTTAAGGACCATGGTATCCCTGTTCTTAATTGGCCAGCAAACTCGCCTGACCTTAACCCCATAGAAAATCTATGGGGTATTGTGAAGAGGAAGATGTGATACACCAGACCCAACAATTCAGAAGAGCTGAAGGCCACTATCAGAGCAACATGGACTCATAACACCTGAGCAGTGCCACAGACTGATTGACCCCATGCCACGCCACATTGCTGCAGTAATCCAGGCAAAAGGAACCCCAACTAAGTATTGAGTGCTTTACATGCTCATACTTTTCATGTTCATACTTTTCATGTTCATACTTTTCAGTTGGACAGCATTTCTAAAAATATATTTTTTAATTGGTCTTAAAATTTTCTGAGTTACTGAATTTGGGGGTTTCATTAGTTGTCTGTTATAATCATCAACATTAAAATAAATAAACATTTGAAATATATCAGTCTGTGTGTAATGCATGAATATAATATACAAGTTTCACTTTTTGAAATGAATTACTGAAATAAATCAACTTTTTCATAATATTCTAATTTATGACCAGCATCTGCAAATACCAAGATCTTAGGAGGCAAGTGGCACCTTCCTCTGTTCTGTGACAGCTTGGTATTGTATACTTAAAGGGTATGTATTTTGTACCTAGTAACTATCATGCAAAGTACATTATAACATGTCACTTCATAATATATCCCAGTCCCTATTGGTATAAAGTGTGTACTGGGCTGAATTATGTATAGCTTCATCAATAACTACTAATTTAAACAAGTGGAAGAAGTTCCTTTTTTATACTTTAGGTCTATTAAGTAATGTGTGCTTGTGACTTCCAGTAATTTGAGCTGTAAATAAAGCTATGGCAGCTTGTAAGAATAACCTGAGCTTAACCTGAGAAATATTTAGCAATGACTATTTCAATCATTAACAAAAACAGCAACTCTCAGAGCAGGTTAGCTCTGATGGTTAACAATTATCACTGTTTAAATGTTCATACCAGATCCATTTTAATTCCAAAATCAATATTCTAAAGAGAAACATTTACTGTTTAGTCAAGCTCAAAACAGTTTAATGAGTCTCATGTGTAGCTGGAGTTTAGCTTACCTTGATAACCAGATCAAATCTGCGGTAGAGTTCTCTGTCAATGGGCTTTAACAGCAGGAGCTCGGCTGAGGTTCTGTTCAAGCCAAAATATTCTACATAGGATACTGGTTTACCTGAGAAAGAACAGGGAATAAGCTGTAAATAGAGAGCAAACCCTAAATGTATGTGTGAGAAACAGAAAGACGGCAAGATCAGTAATTGGTTTAAGAATCAATGTATGTTTGGTGTGATTCATGGGGGAGAATAAAAGAAGGAGTGAGCAGGGAAAGGCCTGGCTAATACTCCCAGCTCACCCATCTCTGCTTTCGACAGGTGGAGATGTGCACTCTGAGCGCACATTCATATATGATGCTTTGAATGCTGCATTGGTCAGCGGGGAAATCAAGTTTCTGAGAGAAGAGAAGCTGCACAGGCACATGTGCACAATTATGCGTCTCATGTGTGCATTTCTAGGTATGTGTGTTACTTCTTTATATAAAGCATTGATTCGATAGGCTCGCTTTTTCTGAGCAATGTTGCTTTCCAAGGTGGCATAACTTCTTCTATGTTTGCACTACTTGTTCTCTAATAACTTGTGTGCAGATGCTTCGTCAGCACCATATGGCATGGTAGTTTTTAAAGTATTTCTTAAAATTCAGAGGAAGTTGACTGCAAAAGAGGCTTGTCGGTACTTGAAGACAAAGCCCTGCAGAATCAGAACCATATCCAAATGGTCTCTTTTCATTTCTTTCTTTTAGCTGCTCCCTTGTCCAGGAGTCACCACAACAAACTAACTCGCATGAAGACGGCAATTATTTTTACACCAGATGCCCTTTCTGACGCAACCACATACCACCAAGCTACCACAGCCCACTCTGTCGAGCAGAGAGCTTCTATCTAGGGTGCCCAGGGAAACAGATGGTGGGGATTAAGGACCTTGCTCCAGGGCCTAGAGTGGGGCAAATGGGGATGGAGGCAGGTGTGGATGCTTCACTAATCCCACCAACATTTTGATGTTGTTGGTACCAAAAGTTGAACTGAGGATCTTCTGATCACAGACCCACCTTCTCTAACCTCTGCGCCACCACTCCCATATATCCAAATGGTCTTTGGTAATAACTTGTGTTGGGACATGTGACAAAACTAATAATGTTTTGCCTAGGCAAAGTAATGAAAATAAACAATTGTAAACTTAAGCCTATACATGCTTTAAGCAAAGTTTTGCATTTAAAACAGGTTTCTTTGCTAAAGTCATGCAACATATTCTTGTGTCGCTCTTCCGGTCTTTATAAATTTTGCCAGGTGTTAAAAGTTGCAGGAAGTGTCAGCATGCAACAAGTTGGGAGTTAGGATATGCTCTGCCAGAAAACAAATGCCTGCAGTGATTTACTTATACAGTATTATAACAAGTACAGTTTGTTCATGAATACAGGAAGAAATGCAAAGAGAGAATGGCTCCATGACATGGTCAAAAGTATGAAATCCAACCATTAAAATAACATTTGCCTCCAGAATGTCTGTTCATGATCTTGGGAACATTTTGTCTTTGTAAGAACGAGACATAATAACTAAAACTACACTCTTTATTCTTCTGAAACTGGTTGCTATGAGTGATTACCACGTTTAATCTAAACATGTTAACAAAAAGTTTCAAAGTTGCAGTTTTCTCTTTTGTCCTTTATTTGACTCGTTTTGAATATTTCTCAGAAATGGATAAAAGTCACTTTCACAGTATAAGAAAATTTAATCTAGTTTATGTGAATTTGTTTCAGTTGATTTAAATGATCTCTGCACAGTTTCACTGGTAAAAGTCAAAGTGTTTTGTGGCTCTGCTTTTTATAGAGTCCAACGGTGCAGTGACGTAACGGCGCACGGCTTCCCCTTTAAACCAACCTGAAGCATTCAGAAAGCATGAAAGGAGAGGCATTCAATTTCTATTTTTGTTATCCATTTTATTCTTTGCAAACACTTACAGTAATATGCCTTCCCCTTCAGATCTTTAACATTTAAGGTAAATATGGATCCAAAAACTTAAGTAGCATAGCTGGCTTTTAGTCTAAAAGTTAGGGTTTTGACTCTGCTATAAGAACATTACAAATATTTTTAAGAACACAATGACTTTTATCCTTTGTTTTGTAATAACTTTTTTGCCTTTTTATTTCAACCAATCAGATACAACTAAGTTAATTTTTTGTTTTACAAAACCATCACACTCAGTTTTACAATTAGCTGATTTGCACAATGTCATTGTGTTTATTTTATTTTTATTTTTCCCAGCTCTCTGGTCAATCTAAGGGCGGCACGGTGACTCAGAGGGCAGAGCTGTTGCCTCTCAGTGAGAATGTTGCCAATTCAAATCCCGACTCAGGACCTTTCTGGGTGGAGTTTGCATGTTCTCTCTGTGCATGTGTGGGTTTTCTCCAGGTAAACCAGTTTCCTCCCACAGACCAAAAGCATGCATGTTAGGTAACTCTAAATTGTCCCTAGGTGCGAGTGAGAGAGTGAATGGTTGTTTGTCTCGTTTGTCTCTATGTGTTCCTATGATGGACTGGAGACCTGTCCAGGGTGTACCCCACCTCTCGCACAGTGATGGGCACCAGTGACCCCAATGACCCAAAAAGGAAGAAGCAGGTACAAGATAATAGATGGATGGATGAATGGATGGATGAATCAATGGATGGATGGATGGATGAATAGATGGATGGATGGATGGTCAACCTACATTGTTTAAAATATGCATTGTAAATAAAACTTAAGCTGATTTGAATCACTAGTCCTTAAAAAAACACTTGACAAAAAGTGCTTATTTCTCTATCTGGAAATGCACAACTCTAAAGACAAGAATTAGTTGTTTTTTTTAATACAATTGTAATTGTTTTAGTTTAATCGATTAGCTAATGTTTTATGTACTTATAACAAGCAAACAAACAAACACAATCCGTAATGTGCATATGGTCTGTTGTCACCAGGCAGTCCTGGACAAGGCACACAATGATTTCTTGCATATCGTGTATAATATAGTGGGCTGTTCATGAGTATTAGTTAAAATGTTTATAAGTTGTCACTTTATACAACACTGTCCTCTAACCCTAAAGGCTTTAGAGATTAACGTACCAATGAGGATGGAGTATAAGATCCCTGGTCTGTCAGACGGAGGCTGTATGTTTCTGTCTTGGTCCACAGCTTGAATAGATGGCGTCACATTAAGGGGATTCACCTTATTCTGGAAACAAAATGAACAGAAATAGAATTGACAGGTTTGGTATTTTCTTATGGACAAAACTAGCTGCAGTGTGGGCATGACAAACTGTGGCAAAAAAAAAAAAAAAGGCTAACAAAAAAAGGCTAAAAACAAATAGATACAAATGTAAAGTTGATAATTTTTGCTTTTAACAGCTCAGTTTACTGTGAAAATCTAACAGAAATGTGCAGTTAAAATAAAAAGCTTTAGGATACTTTCATCGACCATGGCTGGAGGATGCAAACAAGGTCATGCACGAGGCAGGTGAATGATTCATAAATCTTTATAAATAAAGATAGAAACAGAAAGATCCTAAGACAAAAACAGATATGCAAACATGTTACATTATACCAGGTAAAACAGCATAGATATGGTAAAGGAGTACCTAAATACTAAAGATTAAGTGAATACAAAAGTTGAAGAACAAGATAAAGGTCATGATTAGTGATGGGAGCCAGGTGAGCAGAAAACAAGACTGAAATGAAAAGAACAAAACAAAAAACTTGCAACGGAACAAAAGGACCGGTGACAAAATAAAACAAAGGTTTTAATCAAATGCAACAACTGATGGCAATTACTGAAAAAACGCTAACATTTCCAATTGTTTGTCCAAGTAACTTGTGCTGTTTAAAAGATTAGTAGCTCAAAGCACTCAAGCATCGTAGGAACTAATTTAACACTAAAGTATGAAAATCAATTTCTTAAATAAATAAAATGTTACATACATTATATGTTACATAAGACAAGCCTCTACTTTAACATTTTGTTTGTGTTCAAGGTAACAGGAAAAAAAAACAAAGTTATCGAAGGAGTCATTGCACACAATGAAAGTCAGTATTTGCTACATTCAGCATTTCAGACCAGACTATATGGACATTCAACACACACATAGTTTGCCTTTGTGTATCTCAATGTGTTGCATGTGCAACATGGCAGTAATACTGACTTATGGTGGTATAATGTGCTATTGTCAGTAATGGGAAGACCCCTGCCAAGAAAAAAAAGGTCAAAATGTACAATTCAAAAGATATTTAAAGCAATTTACACAAAAAAGCTATATGCATGTATTTCCAAACCTTTACCAATGAGTGGTGGCTATATGTCCCAGTCCACATCAGTATGCTCCTGCTCATCTAGGACACAACACTGCACATGTCATGCAGCACATGAAATCTACCAGCCGTTACTGAGCAGTCTCTGCTGTTGCTCGTCAGTGCCAGAGAGGAGAGAAGGGAGATACAAACGAAGATGAACTTATGGCGAGTAATGAGGTATGCAAATATCAAGGAGGGAGAATAACCTGCCAGGAGTCGAGGGGTAAACAGGGATCAGAGAGGCTTGTAAATGTAGCGGAGAAGAAGGGAGGAATCAAGGAAGAGGTGGATCTCCGATGACACAGATGCTATCGCTACCATTTTTTACTCCTGGCAGCATTTTACGCATCTCTTTTCAGAGGATTAGAAAAGGAAAATTACTCGTGCTAAATGTAGAACTACGGATGGAAACAGAGTTACAATAAAAGGTATAAATATTATTTTGAACACTATCACAGTCAAAAAGTGATGTGATGCTAAATTTGTTACTAGCAGCCACATCTGGAGGCAAAGTAGCTAAAATGTGTGTATGTGTGAAAAATTCCATTTTTGATTAAGACTGTTATTGGTTTCAACCCTGTCTCCTATTCAACGTATTTTATGAACGACTGAACAGAAAGTAATTATTTAATGTACATCTATAACTGTTTTTTTAAGCATCAGTAGTACCAGAAACCAGCAATGTTAATTGTACCAAAAAATTTAGCTTTACTTCTGTTTAAAATTTCACTGGTAATGTTTTTCTAATGACCATTGGCACATGTACTTTTGGTACTCTTACAATATTGAGTTCTGCCAACACAGTGAGTTGGAAGAATCATTACCAGTAAGACTGACAGTGGCCAAAAAAAATTTTAGTCTTTAGCACAGAACAAAAAGAATGTCCCAAACTGCAAACACAGTTGCTCTTTTTTCTTTAACAAGAATCTCTGAAGTCGCTGAACATTTTAGCAGCAAACCATAATTATAATAAAATGTGCTTGTTTCTTATGTATTAACGTGGAGGCACATATAAAACTTTAGATTTTTATTATTTTCAGTGCAATAATTATATTAAGATTTGACACATTTTAAATTAAGCTTCAAAACATTTGACTCCTTCAAACAGAACAATGAATTTGATTACTTTGATTATCAAGTCCATTAAAAAATGTAGCCTCCTCCTTCAGAATCCTGCAAAAACAATATAGCTGGTGTTTTTTACACTTCGTACTTCCACTAAAAGCTCAACTATTGTCAGACTGCATCAAGAGAGTAGGAGTCTGAATCTAAAAATAGCACCTTTGATGCCATACTTAGATTTTACATTGTTTCTAAATTAAACAAATAAAAAATACAAAAATTACATTGTTCTTAAATAGATTTTTTCCATTAGAGACACAACACACTAACAGTATTTCTCAGCACTTGATTATAATGTGCTGCATGACTTATGGCTAGCTCACAAATTGTAGAGTTTATGGAACAAACAAATCAGTGGCCTGCTATCAGAAAGATTGTGCCTTACTGCAAATGTATTCTAAAATCAATCAATCAATTTGTTACAATCTATCTTAAGATGTATTACTTACCAAAGGTACTATGCATTTTCAAACAACTTTAAAATAATTTGGCTCAGGTAAATGTTGCTTGTAAACCTAGGATTATATAAAAAAAATCTGTATTAAAATGGAAATTTAACCTTTTAAAAGTATTTTTAATTTGTGTGTTCATGTCAATCTCTGGGGAAATTTGAGGTTAACACAGTAAGAAAGCAAATTGTGTGAGTAGTTGTCAGCTTCAAAAGAAAATCAGACTGACAGTCTGATACAAATGAACTCATGTGAAGATGCAGGCTTGAAAACTCCAAGCAGACAGACGCAGCAAGCTGGGAGGATGATACTAAAAGGCTCTTTACATGCTGCGCTTCCAAAGCTGACTGTCGGTGACACGCAGGCACAACCGAGTAAGCAAACACTGCAGAATCAGCCGGAAGAATCACAGCAACAGGTTTCAGACAGGCACGGATAACAGAAGAACTAAAGCTGCATCACCTTTGATATAAGCTGGAGATCTAAGGCAGGTAGGTGGCTGATCTTTAGAGATACCAAAAGATCAATAGGAGAGGGGAAAAACAACTTTCTGTGGCCAGTTTAGTCTCCAGTACTGAGTTGCACAAAAGTGCATGGCCAAACGTTGGTGAGGAAAAATAAAACGTTTTACGACCACATAAAAAAATATAATAGATGGGTGATGAGACGGTGCAAGAGCTACAAAATAAAGCTGATACAATACTACATTTTGCTCTGTTCAGCTTTATGCAGCTACTAATTAGTTAATTTCTTGCATGACTTAATGGCAAGCTAAATAAAAGGACATGCACTCCTTGACAGAATGCATATCACCCACTGCCTTTCAATCAAGAGTTTAGACCTTATTCAATTCAAATTCAAAAATACTTAATTAATCCCAAAGAGAAATTAAATGTTGTAACTCATTGTCCTAGCTTCATTAAAAGATGTAATAGATGGTAATGCCTGTAGGCAGGAAGGATCTCTTGTAAAGGTCCGTCCCACAGTGGATATGAAGAAACTGGCTGCAGATGCCATCTGATCCATCCACCCAGTCTCAGGTGGCCTCTTGGTTCCTCTGGGCTGCAGGACCACCCAAATGTTGGGCTGAACTCCTCCTAGAGTGATGGCCACTCCTCTCAGAAACCCGCCAAGGTCCTCATCATTGCAGACAGTCGGCTGCAGGTGCCTGGGGATGATCTTGTCCTTTTGCTGTCACGAGCCGTGTTTCCTGCTAGTTCCAGGATCTCAGTGGTCAGGCACTCGAGCACAGCCAGCAAGGAGGCAGGAATGCATCCATGGAGCCTCCTTTTCAACTCATTTGATATTTGGGGCTGTAGCTGAGATATTATTTGAGCTTTTGAGGAGTTAATCAGCTGCTCCCAGTTGTAAAAAAAAGCACCTTGTTTTTGTGGTTGTGCATCAAAACAACTGTCCAAAACTAAAATAGCTTCAGTAAAAATCCTTCCAAGACCAGAGGAAACGATCATCCAAAAAAATGTGATTTTCATCGAGCAAAAGAAGAATTAAAGTTTCCAAAAGCAAAATCAGAACGAAAGTAACAAACTTACTCCAACATAGAGCCACCCCGAGCGGTGCAATTATGTTGAGAAACAATGGCGTTCTAGTCATTTTGGTCACATAATGTACAATCACATGTGATATCTTGCATGATTTGTTTGGATCATGTGCTTTAAATAACCATTAACTACTATTACACCTAATCTTAACACAATATATGTAAAACTGGCTGCGCTGCAGCTATTTGTGTGTAAGCTAAGGTCAATTAACTGTGGTGAACACTGAATCAGATTAACTCCAAAAGGTAATCAGTTGTAGATGATTATCACCATGATTGCCTGTGAAGAGTTTTATTAAAATGTTTAGTGAAACGAGACATTTGGCTAATGGTATAGGCAAACACACACACAAATGCGCAAACACAGATGAGGAAAAACATCACTCTGACGTCACCTGTGGCCAATAATTGGTCAGGATATGGATGAGCTTTTATTCTGTGATACCCCAAAACTATTCCTCTGCCCACTATGCATTTGTAGCTGTAGAGACAGCAGGATTTTTGAAGTGCATGAGTGAACGTCTTCCAAGAGTGAACTCCTCATCACAAATGGACAATATCTTGATGTGTGAATCAGAATGTATGCGATACAGGAAGACACAGAAAGCATGCTGCAGCTTTCTTGGCTCTGATGCTCTGAGCTTGTCACATCTTATCAGTTTGATTCCTACTCAACATTTATAGCAACTAGACTCTCCGTTTTTCATTACTACCTTCACTCCACCTCCACATCTTTCATACCACACAAACAGAAGTAGG